AGATTTTTAAAAAAATATATTGCTCTTAATGCTATTCTAAGATACCAGTTGCCCTTTTATTTCCCTAAAATGTTCTGTTGGTATAACAGCCATGAAAAAGGAATTAGTGCACTAATTTTCCCTTAAAAAAACAAACTGATCATGTATCCTGCTTATTTATTTACTTGGTAGTTGTGTGTGTGTGTGTGTGTGTGTGTGTGTGTGTGTGAGAGAGCGAGAGAGAGAGAGAGAGAGAGAGAGAGAGGATTTGATTTCATTACAGTGGCTGTCATGACACCTTCCCCTCCCTTGCTACTGTTCAATTTTTGTTTGAATACTATTTATACAATCATACTTTTGTGATTTCTGTTGGTTCAAAAATGAAGAAGATATGCCTCTGTTTCTTCAAATTAATTTATAATTTGTTGAAATGTTCATGTATTAGAAAAAAGTCTTCAGTTGCACCTTGCTTGTTTGGTTATTGATTTCATTCTGTTCATTTAGCTTTCTTTTGGAGGGGGCTTCTATTATTCACAGGTGGAATAATATTCTACTCTGTATTGTGCATGAGTTGAATTTTACTTGATTCCCTGTTCTTTGTCTATCACCATCCCTCTTTTTCTTACTAATTTCTTCCTCATTTTTGGTATGTGTTCCATAAAATTTTCTGTCACATTTCTGCAACATACTGCTTCCTAAAGGATTTTAATTGTTCTGTTGTAAAATTCATCCCGCTCTGCTCTTTGTAACTTCTGTATTTCTTTTTTTTTAATTTAAAAGATTTTATTTTTAAGTAATCTCTACACCCAGTGTGGGGCTCGAACTTAAAACCCTGAGATCAAGAGTCCCATGCTCTACTGATTGAGCTAGCCGATGCTCCATAACATCTGTATTTCTTATCACCTTGTGATAAGTTAATTTTTTCTACAACATTCATTAGTTCTTGGATAAGCATTATTATTATTTTTTTTAAAGATTTTATTTATTTATTTATTTGACAGAGCGAGAGAGAGTACATGAGAGGGGGGAGGGTTAGAGGGAGAAGCAGACTCCCCGCTGAGCAGGGAGCCCGATGCAGGACTCGATCCCGGGAATCCAGGATCATGACCTGAGCCGAAGGCAGTCGCTCAACCAACAGCCACCCAGGCGCCCTAGGATGAGCATTATTAATGTCTATTCTTTCTGCTTTAGTCTTTTGCACTTTAAAACTTTTTGGTTTTTCTTACTTTACAGTTATTTTGGTCATCCTCAGAGGCCAGGAAGGTCCCAGGGACCAGGTTGCTTTTGGTTACTACTGTTTTCTGTGGCAGTGTTACTGGCATATAGTAGATGCTCAGTACATGAATGCATTTGAGAGAATGCTTTGAAACTCCTATTCCAGTTCCTTATTTAATGATAGAATATACATCTGGAGTTTCAATAAGACCCAGTTGTTACTTAAAGTTAATTGGGATTGAAATTCGGTTGAGCAGGGTGGGATATGAGGGAACTGTGGTTGATTTGTGATGAATTGGAATTCAGTCCCAAATGGATTCTGCTTTCATATTCTTTCCAAATCTGAGTCTGCCAGTAGTATCCAGTATTGTGGCTGTCCCAGTCTTGTTTCAGCTATGCAATTAAGAGAGGGTTTCTACTAAGCCATTGCTTGGAGATTTTGGGGGTAGTTGGGACAGATGAGATTACTACTTGTTCAGGTATCAGTACGCTAGGTCTGAGAAAGAAGATGCTTCCTGAATTGGGGTTTAACAGTCAAGTTGACTGCTCTTAATTGCATCTGATTGATACAGGAGATTGGAGAAGGCCTTATCAGAAATTAGAATGTGCTTCTAATTTCCACAGTCCATTTCAGCTATGATTATAGGTTTGTCACTAATTTCATGTATATTTTAATGAGGTTTTGATGGAAGTATGTCCAGTGCATTCTTACTCTGCTATCTTTCAGGAAACTTCTGTAATTTCTTAGCCATGGATGGTTTTGAGATTAGTTGAGCTATACAAATGGAGGTTGTAAGAAAATTTAGAGATTCCATTTACATTGTAGTAGTTTAAAAACTTTTGATTCTGTGATAATGCTTTAGGTTAGGGTAGACTGTGGTGCAGTTACACATTTGCTCACTTGCTGGAAAGATTTGTATTATAGAGGGATTGTGTAGGTTAAAGAATCTGGACAAAATGGAAGGTGGAGTTTGGTGGTAAATTGTATTTTTGAAAAGGATTGAGACATACTCTGACTTAAATACTTTTCTTGGAGTCTTACTTAATAAAGACTTTTTTCTCCAAATGTGGAATATCTGTATAACCTAACCTTTGGATTTAATATTATTAATTAAAACATTTAAGGAAAGTAGTAAATGCTTAAAAAATTCAAAATAATGAGGAATTACCCCATCCCCTGCCCCTCTCAAATGCTGGGGTTATGGTGGGGTAGAAGAGCCCATCACTCATTATCTTGGTTAGCTGGTAGGGGGAAAATATTGAATTGTTGAAAACCATTGGACCTGATGATCTGTAGAGTTCTCTTTAGTTTCTAAAATTCTAAGCTTTTTATTGTTATATCATCAAGAGCAAATATTAAGTGAGGAGCAAGCAATGAGTGTTTTGTCTTTTAGAAAGATAATTTAATTATCTTGTTGCTCCCTTGCTTTAAAAACCTGCAGTGGTTCATAATCCTTGAGGGTTTTTAAAGGGTGGGCAGGCTCAATTCCATCCCAAATCCCAGATCAAGCGGGAAAGCTTGATTGGAATAATGAGGAAAAATTCTTTGTTTAAAATAATGTTTTAAACATAAGAAGTTTAAAATACAAATGTTGAGTTTTCAACTTGGAAATAGTAAGAAGTATTGTATTAATCTGCTAAGGGTTTCCATAACAAAATACCACAGACTGAATGGCTTTAACTACATATTTTCTCACAGTCTGGAGGCTTAAAGTTTGAGATCGAGGTTTCAGTAGGGTTGGTGCCTTATGAGTCCTTTCCTTAGCTTGCAGATGGCTGCCTCCTCCCTGTGTTCTCACACGGTTTCCTGCGTGTACCCTGTTGTCTCTCTGTGTGTCCAGATTTCCTCTTAGAAGGATATCATGAGTCAGGGTGGATTAGGACCTACCAAAACTGTCTCATTTTAACAGTCATTTCTTTAAAGGCCCTATCTCTAAATACTGTCACATTCTGAGACCAGGGTTAGGGTTTCAACATATGAATTTTGGGGGAGACACAATTTAGTACATAACAAACATTAATAACTAAGAAGGGATTTCTTTTTTTTTTTTTTGAAAGATTTTATTCATTTATTTGACAGAGAGAGACACAGCTAGAGAGGAAACATAAGCAGGGGGAGTGGGAGAGGGAGAAGCAGGCTTCCCACTGAGCGGGGAGCCCGATGCGGGGCTTGATCCCAGGACCCTGGGATCATGACCTGAGCCAAAGGCAGACGCTTAACGACTGAGCCACCCAGGCGCCCCTAGAAGGAATTTCTTATTTATCATTATCTTTGCTTTTCAGCTGGTAATTACCAAGATTGCCAGGGAGAGCTCTCAGCTATTAGTCTTACAAACTATGTTCTAAGTTAGAAGAGAACATTTTCTTCCTAAAAAGCTAAACCCCTAAGTCACTTATTAAAACAAAAGAAAACAAAACTTGATACATATATATTTCAAAAAGTCAAATAGTGCTAAGAGGTATGTATATTTATAAAACAGAATTCCTTATCCTCACTCTCAACTCTTCTAGTATTTACCTCTAGTTTTTTTTTTTTTAACCTCTATATTTCTAATTGATCTATGCATGCATACAAACTATTTCTTAATTCTTGTTGACGGATTTTTTGTTGTTGTTGACTTTCTATTATGGTACATAAGGATTTCAGTTCTCTTACACCTTTTCCTCTATACCCTCATTCTTCTAATATAATTATACTTAAAAAAATCCATATTTAGCATTTCATAATTGTGACTGTGTAAAAACTATTTGCCAAGCCAATACTGTGACTATTTTCTTTATTTATCATTTTTTCCTGGAGTTATTAAATTACCTTGTTTTTCCATTTGCTTAGTTTTCTTTGAACCTGGGGCTAAATTTCCTGTATCTTCAAATGCCTTTGTCAAAATCTCTCTCAATACAGTATTCTATACTTTGAAACCTGTAAGATAATTTATCAGTCTCCCCTTCCTGCAGCCATCTTGGATCCTCTGTCGCATTTCTGTCTGGATTTGTTGCCTCTAGTCCATCTATACATCTGTTACCTAGGACTTTGCCTCATTACCATAGTGGGGATTCTCTTAGTTTTTCACCTGTACTGGATCCCTTCTTTACTGGATATTATCTTTCTCGGTTTATTTTCCTGATTTTGACAGGATATATATTCTACCGTAGGTTCTAGAGGAAGGGTAAATAAAAGCTAAGTTTTGGAGACTAAATTCTGCTCTCACCATTGATTATCTGGCCATAGCATTCAAAATTGAAAGAAAATCACTTAATTTTTTTAATTCTTAAAAATAGAAACTGCATGTTCATGAACTGAAATTTGGAAGGTTCAAAGGGTTATGGGTAGGGGAAATGTGTCTGTAGCAGGAGGGAGTTTTTTGGGATGACGAAACTGTTATGTATTTGATTCTAATGGTGGCTTTACCAGTTTCTATATGTTAAAATCCATAGAACTGTTCACCAAAAGAAAATAGTTGTTTTTTTTTAAAGTTCAGTTTGTATGTATGATAGCTTAAGAACTACAAAATAAGTAAGAATTTAAAAGGGCAAAAAGGTATACAGCAAAAAGGAAGTTTCTTTTCTTTCTCTCTCTGTTAGCTTTCCAGTTTTCCTTTATGGAAGAAACCACTGTTACCGGTTTCCTATTTATTCTACCACTTAATCGCTCTTGGACATGTAAACAACATTTAGGGGCAAATCAGGCAGAACTGAAAGGAACTTAAATTTGCTCAGTATTTTCTGAGATTACTACTCTTAGAATAACATCTAAAATGTTATTAATCAAGCCTGGCACTAATTTGTTAAAATTATTTCTCCTACAGTTGGCAAACATGAATTGACTGGGCATAAAGTTGCTGTGAAGATACTCAACCGACAGAAGATTCGAAGCCTTGATGTGGTAGGAAAAATCCGCAGAGAAATTCAGAACCTCAAGCTTTTCAGGCATCCTCATATAATTAAACTGTAAGATCTGATTATATTAAATATAGTCATATAATTTTTTAATCATTTTTGTTAACCTACTTAATCTGACAAGTGAGAAAGATGACTGACATTTCTTGAATCATCCCTCAAGGTTTTAAAATTTCTGCCTGTTCATGTATTCATCTAACCCCGTTCATGGTCACTTAAATCTATGTCCATGTTTTGCCCTTGTGCTTATCAGCTGTTAACTTTCTCGTTCTTTCTTGTCCTCTGGACATGCCGTCTGATCGATAACTTTCTGTGCTCCTATTGCTATAGAACCAACAATGATTTGCTGGTAGAAAATGTTGACCTCCACATTTCACATGATGTCACTTAGCCTCACTAGAGACAAGAGAAAGGCAGTAGAAAGGGTTTCCCCCCACGCTGCTTATATCTGATAAAACAAATCACAAATGACAGAATTTCAGGAATCCAGTATTCAGAAGGGCAGTAGTAGTATTCTGGTGGTTTTACAGTTGCCAATTGTAGGGTCTCCATAGAACTTACTTACTGCTCAGTTTTTTTATGCGGGCTGTCAGTTAAAACTGCTAAGGCTTTTATACTGAACTGGCTGGCTCCAGATTTGTTTCACTCTCACCTCTTCTCATTTGCTGAGGTGCCGTGGTTTTAAGGTGCATATGGGTGCTGATAACCTCTAAGTACACATCTCCTGCTTTCATAACTCTTCCCTGAATCCTAGTTTCATACACCCACTGCCTACTTTACATCTCCATTTGGATGCCAGAACTGAACTTTCTGTTATCCTCCCCCAACCTGCTCTTCACACAGTTCTCACCCTCTGAGTTAATATCCAGTTCCTCAGGGCAAAACATAGGAACCATCCTTAACTTCATTGTTCCTCTCACTTCTACCATCCATTCCATCTCTTTCTTCAAAATAGATCTAGGATCTTAGTGTTTCTCAGTTCCATCATTGCCATCAACCTCGTTTGAACCACCATCATCTCTGTCATGGACTCCTGCAGTAGCCTCTTGCTTCTCCCTTTACCATCCACAGTCAGTTCTTCACATTGCTGCCATAAATTAAAGCTACCCTTTTAATAGATCAGACCACATGACTACTTTGCTTAAAATCTTCAGTAGCTTTGCATCTCCCTTAGAGTAGAAGCCAGAGCCTCATCCTGGCTTGTAAGGTTCTCTGTCCTCTAGTCTCCAGTTACCTCTTTGACTCCACATCCTATTTCTCTCTGCCAACTCACTCTGCTCTAGCCTTCTTACCATTCCTCAAACATGCCAGGCAGGCTTCTACCTCAGGGTCTTTGCACTTGGTGTTCTCTCTGCCTGGTTCACCTTCTTCCTAGATCATGGTATGGTTTGCTCCCTTCTGTCAGGTTCTGCTCAAATGTTACTTTATCAGAGTCCTTCCTTAAACACCCTGTATGAGAGACTCCCCTTAGTTTGCTTTGTTTCTCTTCATAGCATGTTCCACCACCTGAGATATTGCTTGTTTATTTAGTGTCTGTTTCCTGGCTCCTGGAACATGAACTCCATGAAGGCAGAGAATTTGTTTTGTTCCCTGCAGTTTTCCCAGCTAATAGCATAGTGCCTGCTATATTATAGGCGCTTAGTAAATATTTACTGAATGAATGAATATACATGTTTTAATATTGGTAGATAATGTTTTCTCTCACCAGGTACCAGGTCATCAGTACACCATCTGATATTTTCATGGTGATGGAATATGTCTCAGGAGGAGAGCTATTTGATTATATCTGTAAAAATGGAAGGGTAAGCAGTTCTGATTTAATCCTGTATTTATTTCGTAATTCCCCTTATTCCTTACTAGCTTTAAGATGTCAGAAAGCGATTTTGTTAAGAGGTCTACTTAATAACCATTTCCCTTAGTCATGTATTTGTCTAGAATCATAGACTATTTAGAGTTAGAAAAGACCTTAAAGATATTTCCTTAGCCTGCTTACGCAGATGTGGAAGCCAAGACTCACGATTTATATATTTACTCAAGGTCATGTGGTTTATTAATGACAGAATTGGATTGAGACCAGAACTCATGATCCTCCAACTCATGCTTTTGGGGTATACAAATACTTGTAACATACATCTTGAAGTATATATTTAATCCTTACAAAATGTATTAATACTTAAAGATCTAGCTAGCCACATTTAAATTGCATTCATTTTTTGGTTTCAGAAATCTGATGTACCTGGAGTAGTAAGAACAGGCTCCATGAAGGAGGTAGGAATTAGACTTAAAGAATTTAGAGTTGGAAGGAACTTTAGAAGGCATTTGGAACAGTGTCTTAAGTTACAGACCCAAAAAGTGAACACTGCCCCCCACCCATATTTTTTTCTCATACCCAGGTTATGTGGTACGCTAAAACCTCTTTCTAGAAGACCTGTATCTAGCAATGAGAAGCCATTTTTTCCCTACCAATCTAAAGTTCTTTATATCATTCATTCATTTGTTCTATGTAGCATATCTGTTTACTTTCATCAAAACCAAGCTCATTAAATGACCAAGTTAATTTTGATTTTACCATTTTTTAATATGGTTCTTTTCAATTTTCAGGTATTCTACTTCTCTGTTTACTAACTCTCTCCCCCCCCACTATGTTATGCCTGGAATAATGGAAACAGGCAAAAGTTGAATTGGCATCTTGTTCTCTTATCTTTTCCATTTGTCATTTCTTGGTCATTTTGCTTTACATTATGGGAATTTTCTTCAATTTTTTACCTGTTGCATTTTAACATTTCAGCTGTCAAATTTTCTATTTCAAAGATCTTTCTTGTTTTCTGAAATTTTCTTTTTTAAATAGCCAGTTCTGCTCAACAGATACAATAACCTTATCTGAGGATAACAATTAGGTTTTTTTTTAAAGTTTTTAATTGTAATTCCAGTGTAATCAGCACACAGTGTAATATTAGTTTCAGGTGTACAGGCTAGTCACTCAGCACTTCAGTGCATTACTCAGTGCTCATCATGATACGTGTACTTTATTCCCCATCATCCCCATCACCATTTCACCCATGCCTCCACTCATCTCCCCTTTGGTAACCATAAGTTTGTTATCTGTAATTAAGAGTCAACAATTGTAGTGTTTGTTTTGTTTTTTTGTTTTTTTAAGTCTTCATCTGTTTCCTGCATTGTTACTGTACCTTCTGTCCTCCATTTTATTGGTCTTGGTCTTTTGTACATGGCCCTGCCTCAGATGTCTGGTGATTCTTGGTTGTCTACTTATATTTATTTGAGTGAGGTACTAAATGCCAAGCTCATGTAGGTGGAACTTATTGACTGGTGGGCCTTCCCATCCTTTGAATAGGTAGGGATCTGTCCATTTTATTAGGATATACCAAATGTCCGTAATTTCAAATATTTTTCCTTAGATCAGAAAGTTGCTCCAGAAGAAACCTTCCAATTTTCTTGAGGTTATTAGCTGTCAGTACTCTGAGAGCTGAATTGGGAAGAGGCCTGCAAGTCTCAGTAGTTAGTATGTTGACTTCCACTAATCCCCATGTTTTCCTTCTGGTGCCTCATCTCTGCCTTGGTGTCCTTGAGAACAGAGCTGGTTCAGCCTTCCTAGAGTAAATCATGGGTCTTATTCCTCAGGTGGGGTGAGTTTAAAACTTCTTACTTTAACCGATTGTCCTGTTTTCCGTCCTCTCATTTCTCCCTTCCCAAATTTCCAAGGCTTCTAAAAGCTTTTCCAGGGTTCTATGTGCAGGCTAGTTTATTATTGATTTCCAACCCTGTGGGCTTAGGTTTCTGCTCTCTCTGTTGGTGAAGTCTTTATCACTGTTCATCCATTCTACAGTTTAGTGATTTCTCTTTTTTTTTTTTTAATTTTTTATTTAAATTCAGTTTAGTTAACATATAGTGTATTACGAGTTTCAGGGGTAGAATTTAGTGATTCATTGGTTGCATATAACATCCAGTGCTCATGACTTCAGGTGCCCTCCTTAATGCCCATCGACTCCTCTTGATGACTGTTGTCACTTCTCTTGCTCTTTTTGTCTTTATATGCTAATGTCATTTTAGTGATATTTCAAAGGGTGGAGACAAAAGGTTCGATCTGCCATATTTAACTGGAAATATGCTTTAACTTTTCTAATATTCTTTTGTAGACTTCCCCTCCATCTTTTGTACTGTATTTGTCAATATAATATAATTTTAATTTTTGTAGCCTGTTTAGTTTACCTATTATATTTTGTTTAATCAGTTAAGTTTTCTTTCACATTTAGAACACATTCTTTTTTTCACTTAGTATGTTTGATATAAAATTGTATTAAAAATGAACCTACATTTCTTCTAGAAATAAATGAGATTGCTAACACATTGTTATTTTCTCTAGAGGAAGGGTATCTCATAGTACTTCAGTAGTTTTAATTTTGCTTTCAAAAGAAATTACTAGTTTATCTTTTCTCCTAGATTGTCCATGCCATGTGAAGTGTAGAAGTCTGGTTTTAGAATGCTAATTTGTGGCCTCTGTTAGAGAATTGCATATTAGAGTCCTTTGCCTAGAGAATTAATAGGCTGTTTATTAAAT